TTTGGAGTGTACTTACGTGGTATGGCTGGACATGCATCAAGGAATTTCACAGCCTCAAGTAACTCATTATCAACAATTTCAACAACTTGAGGATTTTGTGTCAACACCTTTTCTAATGAATCTGTACAATGAGTACTATTAAATGTATTTTGCACAATATGACACAATGTATCAATATGAAAACATTCATGTTCATCATTGGGGAGTTTGAAGGCATCATATACTTTGAACTTTATTGTTTCCCCTTGAACTGTCATTGTCAATGTTCCTTGTCGAACATTGATCACAGTATCTGCAGTGGCCATGAAAGGGCGGCCAAGAATCAATGGAAGATCCGCACCCGGAATAGGAGCTTCTTCCATTTCTAGCACCAAAAAGTCAGCTGGTAAAATGAGATCATTTACTTTCACAAGTACATCTTCCAAAATTCCTCTTGGATATCTCACTGATCGGTCCGCCAATTGAATGCTAACAGAAGTTGGTTTAAGATCACCTAAGTTAAGGGCTTCAAAAACAGAATAAGGCATCAGATTAATTGAAGCACCTAAATCAAGTAAAGCTTTGTCAAACAATTTATCTCCAATAATGCAAGGAATTGTAAAACTTCCTGGATCTTTTAATTTGGGAGGGAGCTTCCTTTGCAAAACAGCAGAAGCTTCTTCCGTTAGTGCAACCGTTTCATGATCTTGGAATCTCCTCTTGTTGGTGCAAAGGTCCTTCAAAAACTTTGCATAACTCGGAATTTGCTTGATTGCATCCAAGAGAGGAATATTGACTTGCACTTTTCTGAAGGTTTCCAATATTTCCTTGGCTTGTTGAATCTTTTTGGAACTCATAAGCCTGTGAGGAAAAGGAGCACGTAAGATTTCTTCATCAGTAGGTTCACGACTTACCTTCTCCTTTCTTGCCCTTCTTGCAAGTTCATGCTTTGGGATCCACTCGGATGAAGAAGCTGCTTGCTTATCTCTCTCTTTGTTGCTTTCATCCTTTTCTTTAGGCCCAGCCACTTGTTCAACCTGCATGTCATCAACATTGTGAATCAAATCTTTAGAACCATTTATTTCACCAATTACCTTACCAGTTCTCAAGGTAACTGCTTGAACATGCTCACGCCCAGTTGGATTAATCACTGGTTGGCTAGGCATCATACCAGGTTCCCTTTGACTCAAAGCTGTAGCAATTTGTCCCACTTGAGTTTCTAGATTGGCAATGGCCTTATCCGTTTTCTGCATGTGGGTGTCATTCCTCTGCATGTAGCTTTTTGTCTCAGTGATGAAACTATCTGTGTTTCTAGCCATGGAAGCAACAAGTTCTTCCAAAGATTTTCCTGTAGATTGTGGTTGAGGTGGATTGTAGTAGTGCATTTGACCATGAGGTGGGCGAGTATGTTGTTGACCTTGAGGTGGGTGAGTTGGCCCTTGAGATGGTTGAGTTGGCCCTTGTTGAACATTCGAATTGTCACTCCACCTGAAATTTGGATGATTTCGCCACCCCGGATTGTATGTTTGTGAGAAAGGATCATTCTTAGGCCACTGATTTCTCTGAAATGAGCCCACTGCATTTGCTTCCTCATGTGCCAAGGGACAATCCTCAGTGTCATGACCAATTGTGGAGCAAAATGCACAAACCTTGGATGATCCCGGTGCCAATTTCTTCACCATGTTGGTTACGTTTGCAATCTGAGCTTCCATACTAGAAAGGGTACTTACATCATAGGATTCCCCTTTTCTGACTGGTCTTTGCCTTGAATTATATTGGCGAGCATTTGCAGCAACAAGATCAAATATTGCTCGCAATTCTGTTGGAGTCTTGGTCATTATAGTTCCTCCTGCAGCTGCATTCACATTATTTTGGTCCGCTTCAAAAAGTCCTTCATAGAAGTGTGGCATTAGAAGCCAAGCTTGTATGTTATGATGCGGACAAGTGATTAGAAGCTTCGTGAAACGGTCCCAATAA